ATCCACCAAGGATTTAGCCCCCTTTTGTACTCCTTATTAATTCTTTGCTTCACATGGAACCAAGGCTCATTTTATAGTCCTTAAGTAATTTCCTTTGATAATTGAGATGATCACCTCACATAGGAGTTGTAGCAGTGTGCACAGACCTCCTAGCACTTGCTCTTAGTCTCTTTGGTTTGGCATCTGAAATTTTGATACCCTTATTTGCTTAGCTCAGCTGTGTGTTTAAAACAGTTATTATATATTTAGCACACCAACTATTCAGAGGTATTCAAAAGTATTTTTAAAAAAAGAAAAGCAGAATGAAGATTAGAGTGAGTAGGAAAGTGGACACAATATGTTGATAGTAGAAGGAATATCAGGACCAAGATGGATTGAACCAAACGTAAAACAATCTAAAACGTGGTGTGATTTTGAGCAAGCCATGAATCTTGGAGAAGGAAATGGAATCTTACCACAGACTTTCTTTTGTGAGTGATATTTATATGGTGATAACTGAACAGTTGCTTTTGCTTTGTTGGGTCTCACTGTTTAGAATTAATCTATTTAAAGCATAGGAGGCTAATTATACTTTCAGCAGAATGGCAATAGCATTAGTCTTAAGAGTATACAAATATCAAATTGTACGGTATTCTAGACATCTATAAACAGTGAGACCAAAAGAGGCTAGTCTTATGAGAAAAACTATCACCAAGTTGTAATACCAGGTGTCTCTTCATGTATATATAAAATAACATACATACATCCATACATAAACTCCAAAGATAAGGAAACAAAGGGCCTTTTTCTTTTCATTTTCAGATGACTCTGTATTCTTTACCTCATATACAGTATATTCACATACACGTCTGAGGGAGGGTGGGGGAAGGCACAGAAGCAGTGGGAAATGGGTGAAAAAGTGCAGCAGTGGAGCTCACTGGCTGCACTGGACTCTGAACCATGCAGGGAGGGAATGGGAGAGAGTGAGGGAACAGATGATACTATGCAAAAAGAAGGAAGTACTTATTACCTGACATATGTAAAGTAACCCCGCTGTATATCACCTATAAGACAACAATAATTAAAATAAAAATACAAATATAAAATGAAAAGTTTGGAAAAGACCGAAATTGTAACAAGTAATTTATTGATATAACTAATCAGTAATTCTCAGCTATATTCTTCACTAAATCACTTAGAATTCTCTTTATATAAGCAATCTCCTTACTATCGCCTTTGGTAATGGTATTTTAATTTCTGTGGGTAGTACTCATGTTCCTAAGCAATGAGACTCTATTGCTCTCAGATCTTTGCATCATTCTTGATGACTCTGCTTCATTTTCCATGTAACCAGTGGTTGCTGGGAATGATAGCAGTTATGGCTGAGAATTGTAGAATTTAATTGTCTATGTGACATCATTCTTTTGTTAGTCACAGGACATGGCTTATTCTTTGGCAAAATAAGTACACTGTAGTACAGATTTCAAAGGTCTTTTCCCATTCTGTAATCTATGATTCATAAATAAGGTAAATTCTAATATTCATGTACTATATTAAAAGTATTCTATATTACTTGTGTTTGGAAAATACCTTATTTATTATTCAGAAATGTTGTCCTTAATTTTATCTCACTTTCTTTTAGTCCATCAAAAGTTGTTTGTGGTTATTTCTGTTTGAGGCATTCTTCTGCATCTATGCTTTTTCCAGTACCAGGATAGGTGTTGTGATAAAGTATTGAATTTGGTGCATGATTATTGCCTTCATAGCCAGGTGAACACATGAACTGACATCAATTAGGTAACTTAGAAATACGGTGTGGTATTACCAAGTGAGCTCACAGGACAAACACTGATCTCAAACTTGAAGGGGCTGGAAGAAGTGTCATTTAAACAGAGACCTAAAGTGAGAGGTCAAGAGAGAAATGGGAAAAAGAGGCATGGAGGTGAAAGAACGTGATACTTCTGAGGAGCTAAGAGAGGCATACTGTTCCTGTAATAGAAGGCATATAGTATTCTCATCTCAGAAGAGAAGATCGCTCAATCCAGAGTGGAAGCTAGATAAACAGGGCAGTCTGGCTTTCAGGGTTTCAAGTAGTAAAATTTTATCTTCCTTTTGTATTTTGGAGGTAATATGAGGAGTATAGAATGGATAACACATGAGAGTGGAAGATAAATTCTGGCAGTTGGCATGTAGATTTGACAGATACTATAGACATAGAATTGGAAATACTTTATGGTCAACTTTATGTTGATTATGATGGAGGAAGGAGAGTCAAGAATGTCTGTGTTTGTAATTGCTATTACTGGATGTGTGGTATTGGTGTTTATTGAGATAAGGGCACAGGAGTGGAAGTATAGTTCAAGGGAAAAATGTTACATTCAGTCAGATACCTGTGGAACATCCAGGTGTCCAGTAGGAAGTTGGTTATAAGGCACTTAGGTTAAAAGGAAAGATAGAATATAGTTACAGATGTGGCCTACAAATGATCTGTGAAGTCATAAGAATAGATGAAATTGTTCAGGATGAGTAAGTGAAACAACAATAGAATAAGACTTAGAATAGAACTTGAAGATCACCCAGGAACAGATAAAGATGGAGGTAAAAATGTGCTGAAAGAAGTCAAGGAAAGAACAAAGTAGTGTTAGGTAGAATTAAAATACTCACTGAAGGCCGGTCATGACCCAGGGTAAGATATTTTCACTGAAATTTTGACTTATGTACAACTTTTAAAAGCATTCTTAAGGTAGAGGAGGTTTTCTTGTTGTTGTACTTGTTGGCCTGTCCTTTAGGTTTGTGTTCTGGGCATTTGTGTTTAAACAGTGATGGTTAGTAGCAATTGAGATGATGAAAATAGAAGTAAGAGAAGCCCTAATTAATTAAGTAACACTCAAGTTTTGGGATAGATGCGGCACAGATGATAGCTATATAGTCAGAATCTAAATGTCTCATTTATCTGATAGATAAATAGAGGAGGGTAATCCATTTTGAGGAGTTTGGCTTTAAGGGTTTTAAATAGTAAAATTTCAGAGATGGAACATTTCTAAATGATGGCAAGACAAGATATAGGAGTTGTTGAAGGTTGGGTGAAGAGAAATGAAAGTCCTGATTGGTTGTGTCAGGTCAGTCTTAGAATTGCAGTTGCTCATGTTGATGATGGGGTGCAGTAGGACTGAGAAGTGACCAGTGAAATAAAGGCAGTAGGTTTTTATTGCTTAATAAATAGCATCAGCTTCAGAAGGAACCTGTTTTTATAGAAGGGTGGAATAAGGGTATGCAGACAGCATTGGAGAATGAGGAGACAGCCAGCTTATTCTTGATGCTGTAGCCTATGTAGTATATGAAATGAACAGTCCTAGCTTGAGAAGGCTGTTCTTAGGCAAGCTATGCTTTAATGCGGGAAAGAAATGGAATGCATGTGTAGTGATGACCCTGAGGATGAATGACAGCCCAGGTCAAGCCTGAAGCACACAAGACCCATAGCACACCCAGGAGGAACTGAGCCTGAATCCATGTTCAAGGAGTAGAAATGTTCAAACATGTTGTGATATTTCATAGATATCAAGAGGTTGGCCAGTGTCTGGACAACTTTATTTTGGGGGGAATAGAAATGTTCAAACATGTTGTGATATTTCAAGAGATTGGCCAATATCTGGACAACTTTATTTTTGATTATTTTCATTTCAATTTATTCTGTGCATTTGAAAGTTAAAACATACAAACTACCACTAAAGCTTCATAGTATTGAGCACTTTAAAAACAGAACATTAAGTATTTGTGTACATTTCTCATTTTTAAATTTTACATTATATTATACATCTTTGTTATATTTAAAGGTAAAGGTACTATTAACACTACAATCCCCCCCTCTTTTTTTTCCCCTAGTACTGAGCTATAAACTCAGGACTTTGCACTTGCCTGGCTTGCTTGCTCAGCTGGTACTCTACCACTGGAACATGCCTCCAGCCCTGCTTTTTGCCTGCTATTTGGGAGATGGAGTCTCACAAACTTTTCTGTGTGGACTGACTGGCTTCAAACTGCAATTCTCTAGATTTCAGCCTCCTGAGCAGCTAGGATTATAAGTATGAGCCACTGAAGCCTGGCTCATAAATCTAATCCTTTATAACCTATTTGTCTAGCCAAAGTAAAAGTCTGTTAAGTTCTATTAAAATTTCTGTACTTGAGATAAATGTTTAGAACCTTATTTTAATAGTGTTGCATAAATATTTAGTGTTTTGGCATTTAAGTCTCAGCAATAGCACTGTAGAAGCAGTTTTCACAAAAAGTTTGAGGCAAAAGAAAATAGGTTTGGAAATAACTTTATTTTGCTAATTTTCTGTTTTAATACTAACATCTATAAAATAAGTTTTCTGTTAAGTATAAAATAAATACGCTCAACTAATATTTAGATTTAAGGGTTGGTTATAGTGGGTAAATTGTATTGTGGTTAGTGATGTTAGTTTTTTTTTGTAGGACCATATGTTTAAGTTCTCTTCTGTTTAATTTTTAGATTTGTTGCTATTTCTGCTACATCTTCATTTCTTTTTTAAAATTTTATTTTATTGCAAAGATGCTGTAGAGGGGTTATAGTTACATGAGGAAGGTCATGAGTACATTTCTTTTTTTTTTTTTTTTTTTTGCGGCCATGGGGCTTGAACTCTGGGCCTGGGCGCTGTCCCTCAGCTCTTCAGCTCAAGGCGAGCGCTCTACCACTTGAGCTACAGCGCCACTTCCGGTTTTCTGGTGGTTTATTGAAGATCAGAGTCTCAAGGTCTCTCCTGCCCGGGCTGGCTTTGAACCGCAATCCTCAGATCTCAGCCTCCTGAGTAGCTAGGATTACAGGCGTGAGCCACCAGCACCCGGCATGAGTACATTTCTTGTCCAGCATTGTTCCTAGCATTAGGGGAAGAGAATGATAGTAATTATATAGCTACTTGAGTAGAAAAAGATCAAATCATATATTTGCAGTGACCATGAAGGGAACACTAGGTATTACAAGTGTTTGCATTGCTTGTGTCTTTCAGGGACTGTGGCTAAGCCTGCTGGATCTCTAGCCCGAAGTAGCAGTTTGTGTCGCTCTCGTCGTAGCATTGTGCCCTCTTCGCCACAGTCCCAGCGAGCCCAGCTTCCTCCACATGCTCCTCATCCAGCCCACCCTCGTCATCCTCACCTGCCTCAGCATCCCCAGCATTCGTTGCCTTCCCCTGATCCAGACATCCTCTCAGTGTCAAGTTGTCCCGCACTCTATCGGAATGAAGAGGAGGAGGAGGCCATTTACTTCACTGCTGAAAAGCAATGGTATGGGCAGCGAATAACCTGCATAATATCAGGTTGTGTTGACATGAGGGATATGCGGATGAACATGGAGATGGGAACTAAGGTGCATTGTATTGGCTTTCTGTAGCTGTGTAACAAGGTGCCACTGACTCAGTGGCTTCATATGAACACTCAAGTCTATATCAGAGTCCAAGCCTAGGGGGACTACTTTTTTATTTTTATTTTTGTTGATTGTGGGGCTTGAACTCTGGGCTTGGGCACTGTCCCTCAGCTCTTCAGCTCAAGACTAGTGCTCTACCATTTGAGCCACAGCTGCCACTTCCAGTTTTCTGATGGTTAATTGGAGATAAGAGTTTCATAGACTTTCCTGCCCAAGCTGGCTTTGAACCGTGATCCTCAGATCTCAGCCTCCTGAGTAGCTAGGATTACAGACGTGAGCCACCAGTGCCCTGCTTAGTGTGACTACATTGCTCAGGGTCTATAGCCTCCTAAAATGAAGGTATTGGCTGGGCTGTGTTCTCATCGGGTCCTTCTCAACACCCATGTGTTGAGTAGCAGAATTCAGTTCCTAAAGGCTGCCTGCCATTCCTTGCAGTTGACCTCTGTCTTCACATGGAGCCAGCAGCAGAATTTCCCTTCTATAAATCCAGCCTTTGCTCTGAATCTCTTAACTTCCTCTGTCTCAGATCGCTGGACTCATATTTAGTTACTTAGATTTATTTTTATCTATGACATCCTTTCCTAATAGCACTTATATTTGACTGTGATTAAATATCTAGTAAAGGTACATATACTGTAGAGGCTAGGAATTTGCAAGCCATTCTACAAAGATGTAGGTAGATACTTGAGGTATGAGCTTACCTAGAAGCCATTGGACACATTTGCTTAGGCTCCAAATGTAAACTTGTTAAATAATTTTATATTAGAATATAAATGCTTGAGCATAAGTTGTACCTAAAGAAGCATCAAATATGCCAGTCATGGTCATCATGCCTGACCCAGCTACTCGTGAGGCAGTGATAAAAAGTATTATGGTTCGAGGCAAGCCTGGGTAAAAAGTTAGTGAGAGGTAGTACTACCAGAACAAACAACAAAATCAAGTTGCTAAACAAACCAAAAACAATAACAAAAAACCCTCCATCAATTATTAGTGAGAATTTAATTTATTGCTACTTAGTGCTTTATTCTGTTGCATGCTGGTATTTGCTAGCACATACATAATATATCCCAAAGTTTAAGAGAACTTAAAGGAGAAATGATAAAATTAAATAAATGTGGGCTGGGAAGGTGGCTCAGTGGTAGAATGCTTGCCTTGCATGCATGAAGCCCTGGGTTCAATTCCTCAGCACCACATATGCAGAAAAAAAAAGCCGGAAGTGGCGCTGTGGCTCAAGTGGTAGAATGCTAGCCTTGAGGTGAAGAGCTGAGGGACAGTGCCCAGGCCCGGGGTTCAGGCCCATGACTAGACCCCCCAAAAAAATGTGTTAAAATTTGTGACCTGATTAGTTTCACAAAATGGATATAGCAGCATATATTCTAGTCCAGCTTAAGACCCCAGTGTTTCTTCTCTCCCTGCCTGCCTCCTTGTCTTCCTGTCTGCCTTCCTCCCTCCTTCCTTCCCTTCCGCTGTACTATTTGAACTCAGGTCATTACACTTGACAGGCTGACACTGCACCACTTGAGTTATGCCTCCATCCATGTTTTTCACTGGTAACTTCTGAATTAGGGATTCCCTTCATGTCTGGGCACATGCCTAAACCTGTTTTTAGGCTTCTCATCATTGATGGAAGTGTTTGCAGCTCAATTCAGCGTCTCTCTGTGGAGATGGAATCTTAGTGATTTTTTTGGTCTGATCTAGTTTGAAACCATGGTCCTCCCAATCTTAGCCTTCCAAATAGCTAAAGATGATAGGAGTGAGCCACTGGAAACCAGCTAGCAAAGCAGCTTTTGGTTTTGGAAGAGATCCCATATAGATTGAGATAACAGGTGAGTGTCATTGCACCCAACCAACTGTGGGTTAAAAAAGGCCAAGGACTAGATAGATCTTTGCACTGTCTAATAAAAATTTTCTCACTAATGGTATGTCCTGTGCTGGCCTTGAACTGTGATCCTCCCTTTTTCTACCTCCCAGTTAGCTAGGATTATAAGCAGAAGCCACTACCCCATACAGTTGGTAAATCAGCTTTTGATTTGAGAAGCTAAAGAACTTCAAGGAACACCAATATATTCCATTCAGTTACCAGTTATCCACTCAGCAAAAAGTCACTTCACAGCAACATGGCTACTGTGATTGATTTCCGAGTTTGGTCATTTTATCATATCTAAACTGCCTCCTGCCTTTGGTAGCACTATAACATTATGAAAGCATTTGGAAGCTCTGTATTACATACAGGTATATTATGTGAAATCATTAATTAAATCTTAAAGAAAATGTTTTAGCTGGGCATCCATGGCTCATGCCTATAAATCCTAGCTACTGAAGATGCTGAGATCAGAGGTTGGAAACTAGCCCAGACAGATTCACTAGACTCATCTTCAACTAGCCACCAAAGGCACAAACTGGAGTTATAGTTCGAGTGGTAGATACGTATCTATATATACCACATAAATATATCTATATATTTTCTCTAATACCTTATTTAAATATTTAGCCTGGGGGGGGTTGTACCTTGTAGTAAAGATACTCTTCACTTAACTGTATGAATAAGGTATATAGAAATGTTTAAGAACAATCTTAACAAATACCTAAAATATGGTTTTATCATGTTGTATTTGTCAAAAGTAAATGCAAAAACAGTATGAAAAGCAATAGTAATTAAAGGCCACCAAAGTGAGAGTCCTTCTCTGTCCATTCTCTCACTTTATTTCTTTGCCAGATTACTTTTACCTTGTCTGTACTTTCTACTTTTTAGTCTTTCTTTTTCACAGTGTAAACAGTACTCATGTTGGGCTCAGGACATGAAAAGCGAACTAGGCATGGTCCCACTCCTCACTGTTCCATTTTTTTCTTTCTCATTTGTTACGTATTAATTTCTCACCCTGAGCTTTACATCGTTCTAGTGCAGAGAATACAGACGTTTCCTCTAAAGTTTCTTTTTCTTCTGGCAACAGCATAAACAAGTTAATATAAAATGCCATTTTTGCTGCTTGTACATGCTGGGATGTTGAAGATGGGTAAAGGAAAATGACTGCTCCTTTTCACAGGTGATGAGGAGGGGCCTCTCCATGGAGAGGGCAGTAGCTTGAAGGACATACGCAGTAAGCCACAGAGAGTTGAGATGGAAGGTTTTAGCAGACAGAGGAAACAGCAGGTGCCAAGCCCTGTGGGAGTGTCTGTGCGTGATGGAGGAACAAGACAGCTGCTGTGGCAGTGAGGAACAAGAAGGACATGGGGATAGAGCCAGCCATACCAGGGTCTTGTAGGCAAGGACTTTGGATTGGAAGGTCTTGAAGTGAATGAGGTGTGGTACTTGAGCTTGTTTGAAGTCCCACCACTGGGTGTGTAGAGAAATAACTGAGAGAAGCACTGGATGGAAGCAGAGAGACCAGTTAGGAGCAGTGGGATCATTTAGGTGAGGTCAGAGATGTTCTGGAAGAGCAATAATCGCACAAGGAGTCGTAAGGAACATGCGCTTGAACTACGTGTTGAAGGAATGGCTGGATAACATTTACTATATATGATGGGTGTTGGGTTATGAACTTTAGTTTTCTGCCCTTCTTTCTCTTTCTACTGTAGAGAAAGTGGGAGAAACAGTCACAAAGGAATATTTCTGCGAGAATTTATTGGTGACCCACTTCTTGAAACTAGCATTGTAGAGTTACCTTTCATCTTCTGTCTACTCTGTCACACTTCAGTTCTGTTTGTCCCCTTTTAAAACTATAGTAGACTTTACGTTTTAGTGTAGAAAGTTCTTTATTTCTTTAGGGAACTGTATTTCATAAAGTTAATGACAATTAAATGAAGGGAAAAGCAATGACCAAAATTCTATTGTTTCAAATATATAGATTCAGAAAAAAAGTAGTCAAAGAAACAAAACTTGAAATGTTTAAAAAAACTATAATATTCAGACAATTTTATTTCCCTCTCAATTGAAGAAAGGATATTTATTTGTTATATTCTTTTTGTAAGATTATAGTATACATAAAAATAAACAATGTTAATAAGCTCTATTAAAATCATAATTTTCTAGTTGAATTATGTACAGAATTGTAGCATTTCTTACATTTTAGCAATTAATTAATGACAGTAGTTTTAGTTTGAATGTCTGTCAGCACTCTTAGGAATACACTGATTTTAAAGTTTTACCATTGACTGTCTCACTCAGGGAAGTGCCAGACACAGCTTCAGAATGTGACTCCTTAAACTCTTCCATTGGAAGGAAACAGTCTCCTCCTCCAAGCCTCGAGATATACCCAACAGTGTCTCCTCGAAAGATATCCAGAGATGAGCTCTCTCTAGAGGATTCTTCCAGAGGAGATTCGCCCATAACAGCAGATCTCTCCCGGGGCTCTCCTGATTGTGTGGGTCTGACAGAAACGAAGAGTATGATCTTCAGTCCTGCAAGCAAAGTGTACAATGGCATCTTGGAGAAATCCTGTAGTATGAACCAGCTTTCTAGTGGCATCCCGGTGCCTAAACCTCGCCACACATCATGTTCCTCCGCTGGCAACGACAGCAAACCAGTTCAGGAAGCCCCAAGTGTTACCAGGATAAGCAGCATCCCCCATGACCTTTGTCATAATGGAGAGAAAAGCAAAAAGCCATCAAAAATCAAAAGCCTTTTTAAGAAAAAGTCTAAGTGACCTGGCTGACTTGTTGGGATTCCATTTCAGTGGCACCTGTAAACGTTTTTTCTCCCACCCTTTACTTCCTGTCTTTGTTTTAATTTTAGGACTGTAACTCCATTGGGGCTTTCGAAACTGGATGCCATAGTGGAATGTCCGTCAAGGCAACTGTCTACTGTCTGCTTATTTACATGACCACATAGCCAATTCATCAAGTCAGTTATTACTGAACAATCATGAACAGATGAGACAGTTTACAGTCATTTTTGCCTATTTATTTCTGCATTTTTGATGGTGATGTATATACAATATTTTGTTGAAAGCCACTATGGACTTACAAGCTTTAATGGACTAGTAAGCCAGCATGGGCTTGCAAAAATTTCTTGTTTACCAGAGCATCTTCTTATCTTTCCACAGAGCTATTATGGACTAAATAACTTAAAAGAAGTGAAACTAATTGCACTACTGTTTTCCAGACTGGAAAAAACAATCTCTGCAAGTGAAACTGTATAGAGTTTATAAAATGACTATGGATAGGGGACTGTTTTCACTTTTAGATCAAAATGGGTTTTTAAGTAGAAACTAGGGTTTCTAATTGACTTGATTTCTGGAAACGAAAACCCATGCTTTTATTATGGGACGCTTCTTCAAAATGCATTTAATATAAAGGTTCAAGTCCTGCTGTAAAGATCATGTTTTGTTTTCCCCAGGGCTTTCACTGTGATTTACTGCATTTCAGGCTGTATGAAAAATTTAAATAATTTAAGGCGAGAAACCTCTTGATTCTTTATGCGAATGGAAGAGTTAAAGCTTGATTGGAGGACTTAAAACATTCACAAGCGAAATTGAGGTGGGAGTGTGGGGATTCAGACCCTTGTTTACAGACTTGGAATAACTGCAAAGGACTTACAGTGTGTGGAAAATTTGTACTGTGGAAAAGATAATAAATTGGAGACAATATTGTGTGGGACTGCTGATTTTCGTTGATAACACTCCACTAAGAACACTATGTTTTCTGGAGAGCTGTGTAAGCTGTCTTGTTGCTTAATTGCAATATGAGAAATAGTGATGTTTTTGGAAGTAAGTTGTCAACAAATTTTCTTTCTATTTTATATTGTCTGTCATATTTTTATGTAGTTTGAAATGTTTAAATGTTCTAATATCAAGATTAACAAATATAAATTTATGGTGCATTTAGATTGTGTTGTATTAATTTGTAAAGTTTGGTATTCATTAAATCAATAGGCTGTTGTAAAGCTTTCCTGTGACAAATGCCACATAGAGGCCCAAAGTGCATTGCCATCTGGGGAGTTCCTGTGTGTTCTGCCTTTAAACCTTCAGTCATGAAGGCTCTGATAAATGCACTGTGGATGGATGTTTGGAGAATCAGCAGATACACTTCAGCTAGAATGTGTTCTCTGCATAATGGCTAAAATGCATCACGTCTCACCCAGTGGTCTTTCAATGAAAATGCTGATTGATAAATGAGAAGTTTCTTTGATATTTGTGTCAAAGGAACCACTAATTACTAAGAGTATGGAGAGGTTCACAAAATCTCCTGTAAATTATGATTGTTTATTTTCCTTTGCTCCTGTTGCCAAAAACTACTAAGATTTTTAAATGATGTTTATATAGGCTGATACTTTTATATTTAACAGACTAAGTATTGTAAGGACAAACATTGACTGAAATGAAGATAGCATTTTGGATAATAAATACATAATAAAGATAATCTGAAAGGTAAGATTTTGGATCAAACTCTAAAGCTATCTAAAAAGGAGAAATAGTCATGCATAAAAAAGCTGAAAAGGTTAAGGGAATGCCTTACATTTCATTTTCATATAACCAGCAGGAGGGATTCTGCTCGTTGAAAATTTCCAAAGGGAAGAAAACTTTATTGATTGATAGAAAAGGTGAGCGCTGCTGAAGCATGGAGGCTGGGGGAGGGTGCGTGTACGTCTAGCTAGGTAACCGCTAGTCTCATCAGCATGGCCTGCGGGTCAGCCAGGTGCTCCTGAGCCTGGGGAGAGAACAGTTTCCATCAGGAAGTGTCCTGTGGGTGCAGCATTTTCCACATTCATTTCTAGATTTATCCAAGGAATATGTACTGCTTTATGTTGTTTACAATTTTAATTTCACATGAATACAGTACTCCGTACATTCAACAGGAAAGAAATGAATTTTGGAAAGTCATAATGATTTCTGTTTTATATCATTTATATAATTATAGCATTTTTATAATTTTTTAATTACCCACTTGTTTTATGTTAACATTTAAAAGTTATTGTGTCTTCTTGCTTTTAAAAGTAATAACTTACTCTTAAAAGGGTGAAAAAGAACATTAGTTATAGGAAAAGAATAAAAGAAAACAAGAGGAAGCAAATCAAATTCTACTACCCAAAAGAACTACTTCGAATATTTTGGTATGTTTTCTGCCAGATATTTTTCTACACATGGATGTATATTTTACATAATTGAAATCATATATTCATTTTCATATCATGCTTTTTCACTTAAGAATTTCTAAAAATCATTAAAATCCTTTATGAGCAACATGTTAATGGCTGTATAATGCTATTGTATGGATTTACCATAATCTCCTTAAACATTCTTGTATCATTAAACATTAGGTTGTTAACCAAATTCGTGAAATGTGGAGTGATAGCATGGAACATTTATTGAACACTTTATTGCCAGACACTGTTTTAAACTCATATAGTCTCAATTTTATATCAAACCCTGTAAGGTAGGTGCTTCTTAAAAAATTATTTAAAAATTTCCATTTGGCTGACGAACCACTAGCCCAGAAAATTAATAATTTGCTGCAGGTCACATAGCTAGTAATTGGGAGAACCATGTATTTAACTTTTAAGCCATCTAGTGTATTTTTTAAGAAGTGTATTGAAAATGTAGACATTTTTAGTTCACGTTTTTACATTATGTATGTATGTGTGCACATACATATAGCCCACATACCTACTTGGGATAGATCTCATTTAAAAGATTTTGTACATATGGCTGTACTGATAGCGTTCCCACAATACTTTAGTATATGACTAACTTTACTTCATGCCATTGTTTCTGAGTTACCATTTGGATAAAACTTGAGTTGTGTTTTGTTTTTCAACTAATCAGGATTTGTTTGATCATACCAGTTTTTTTCATTCTTAATTTAAAAAGTAAGTGAGAGAAAATCTAGGTTTAAATTTTAATCATATTGACCCTATTTTTGGATCTTAAATGAGAGTGTTGTCTTGTTTAAAATGATTTAGGTGGTAAAAGATAATACAGTCTTCTTAATCCATTAAACAACCGTTTGCTAGTCTACCGTGTATCACTGATGTGAGAAGCATAGAATGTAGACTAATATGACATGTGCTTACTTTAGCAAAATAGATTAGATGGAAGTTCTTGTAAGGGATATAAGTGTAAAATATTGGGAAGCTGGGAGCTTGTAAAGGAGGGATTTTATAGTTCAAAAATATTGTGATGAGTAATTTAATGGCGCTCCTTTGCAGAAGGCATGGGGATCTATTGTGGAAACATAGGACTAGGGCCAAGTTATAGGGCTTCTGCTAATTAGTAGTCTGGTTTTAGCAAATGAGCCTGCAATTACTGAGTTCCAGCCACACTTGATAATAGCAGTGAGGATGTTTATTTGTGGGTAATGCTCAGAAGCATAACATCTGAGCACTCCCATATAATCCTAGATAGTACTGATTAAACAGTTCCTCTCAACAGCCTCCAAATGGCCTAGTCTCTGTTGTTCAGATATACCTAGGTAGGATCCACACTGATCGTGAATGAATTGGAGTCACGGTTCAGATTTCACTTCCATATCAAAATTGATTTTTTTCTGGAATTCTCTGTAAGTCTCTGTGTGGCTGTAATTACTGCAGATCCATCTGTGACATTACAGAGGCTTTGATTCAGATCCCAATTTCTTCTTTAGGTTGAGACTAAATGTCCAGCCTCCTCTCCTAAATTGCACAGTTCTGACTGCCAGATTCTCCAGTATCCCGATGGGCCAGTTTTTACGGGATCTGTGGCAATGTCTTCATCATCAGCCTCCAAGAACTGAGAGAGAGCAGAAGCTAGAAGGTAAGGCAGGCAGTTTGTCTTCAAGCAGACCTGCAGGTGTATACCAGGGACACCCAGTGGCACAGCCATTCCAAAACTCCAGTCCTTAACAGCCAACCTTTTGCTTTCCAGCCTTTCCCTTTCCCCTAGCAGGTTCTTCCCTCTCAGACTTGGACTGTAAGAAATCTTACCTGGATCAAAATGATTCTTGTGTCTTGCTTTAAATCTCTTCAGTTTCAAGTAGTTTTTTTCATACCAGCTGTCTAGTGTTGTACTTTCCCGGAGGATACTGTGTTTATTACCTAAACATCACTTGCATTGTAGCTCAGCTCCAAAATACTCAGGTAGGCTGATTTTTCCATCTGTGAGAATGTGACGGGATAAAGATCTCTAACAGGCCCACCTCTGCTGCTCTGTGTTACGGCACCATGGTGCAGGAGAGTCAAGATCATCCACAATGAGGCACTAAAGTTTTCCAAAGTGAGAATGTGGCCTTTGTTGTTGTTAGATTTTTCAGGAAACCCCTCCCTATGACATTCAAGATGTTCATCTGTATCAAAAGAGAAGTACAGTATCAAGAAATTAAGGGGGTGTTGGGCAAGGGGATAAAATGAAGCTTTTGTGCAGCAGTGAACTACTATATCAGAAGTTGCCTTTGACTTTTAAAGGTAAGAAAATTAGCCTGAAAATAGGACTGGGCTTTGGGCTGTGGGAGAGGATTGAAGAGGAGGAAGGGTCCGTGTATTGTCAGACCACCAAGACATGTACATTTGCTCCCTAGACATTTCTACTCTTCTGGACCCTTCCTCAGTTTTTATTTCTATTAATTAAAGAAGCATTTGAATCTTTTCTTGGTGAACTTTCTAATTGGCACATTTCTAGGCCTTTCAGTGCTTATAGAATAAAATACAACAGATGAACAAGAAACCTTACACTGCTTGGCTCTACCCAAATTGCCTCTTGTGTGCTGCTTCTGGATACTCAACCAGTCATGCGGGACTCCATGAAGCTTTCCTTCTTCCTCCTCTCTGTACTCCTACTGACTTTTACTTATACAATCTTGGCCAACGGTCTAAAGCTTTACTGCTGCTTTCTTCTCTAGGAAGCCTCCTCCCATGAGTGCCCCCTGGCTGAAAGAGACACCACTTCTGTGAACATCCAGAATTTTCTGTGTTTGATCATATCACTTGTCATATTACCTTATAGTGACTTGGCTACTTGTTTGCCCAATAGACTAACTACATAAACTAACTACTGCCTGTGTTAGCTGCGAACTGCCAAGAACTGGCAATATAGGCACAATACCTTGCGTGCCTGGTGAGTGAATAAATGAACAACAGACACCGTTGCTGTCTTCAGGTTTGAGGCTATTAAGGCCCTTCATGAATTGAATGAGTAGAAAACAGTTCAAGTCTAATTCCCAATTCCAGTGAGTATTGTATACTGACGTTTCATTGACTACTGTGAGGATTCTGGAAAAGGAAAAGCTCAAAATGGCATGGAGTGATTAGTGTGTTTTCTTGAAGAAATATTTTTAAGCTCAGACTCTGTGATGAATGATGGCTCATAGGACTTATAGGGGAAAGATTCTTTTAAGCTATGTGTAGAGTTTTGCTCAGTAAAGATCCTGAACATATTCAGGCTGGGCTCTATCCTCCAAGACTCAGCACTTAATGTCAGTATTTTAAATCTAGTAATTAGTATGATCCTTTGTATTAACCAACTATTCTTTCAGTAATTATGTTCGTGAGAATACAATGTGCTGGACAAATAACAAAGAGAAGCATAGTTCTTAACTACTTCAAGAACAAATTCATAATTCAGTTACCACACTTGTGTGTATGTTTTGGTTTGGTTTAGTGTTGGTGCTGAAAATGGGGTTTGA